TCGGCTTTTGGATCGATGCATCGATACAAAACGATTATTATTTACACCCCTACCTTACAGATGGAGAGTTTTAAGCTATTTTAATTGTCTGAATAAAAATAAAAGTTTCCTTTCCTGGTCAGATTGAATTAATTTAAAGGTATAGTGGAGGATTTCTTTTTCCAGCTGGATCATCTAAATAAGTGATCCTCCTAATTGTCAATCATTCTGGTGATATGTTTATGTAAGGCCTTCCTACGTGCTCATTCCCATTTTCACTGACATAGTGGAAAAATTACAAATCTTCTTTTGGAAAGTAAGCTTGTAAATAGAGTGTGCACGAGGAGAAATTGCCTCTTGCATGCATTTTTTTTTTTTTTTTTTGCAAAAATCCTCCAGTATACCTTTAACTTATAAAATGCCTAAATTCATTGGTTTGTATTTTGTTATAAAGAACTTTTCTAGCAAAGTCAGCACATGGAAGCCTATTTTAAGAAGTATTTTGAGTCCTATTGTGGCCTAAGGATATGACGTTCTGACTCTGATTTAGGTCCAGATGGCGGTGGACGTGAAGTTTGCCCAGGACAGCCTCAGAGGGGACAACGTTACAGAAATCCGCATGAAGTTTATTAAGAGGATTGAAGAAAACCTCCCAGCCGGAGAGGAGTGATGAGGAAAACAAAGACACTTTTATTATGTTTAGCTGTGGGGTTTTTCTTTCAGTTGTTTTGCATGTTTATTAATTTATGTACATAATTGTAATCAATGAAATCAACATTAATCAATGCGTGTCATGTGATCTTTTTCTCATGGGTGGGTTTTAGTGTTTTATCTTTTCTATTGGAGTAAGACTGGACTTTATATAAGCCATTCCAACACATGCTGCTTATCCTTTGACTTAAACCATTCAAATGTAACTTTGGCTGTATGCTAACGGTTGTTTTGCTAAAAGACAAACCTTTGCCCCAGTTAAAGCTTCTTAGAACCTTTGCTCCAGATTTACCTTTCATTTGACAGCATAGATTTTTCTAATTCTCTCCATTTAGCTTCAATGTCCCTTAGATGCATCAGTAAGCCACAACATTTCTCAGTGGGGCTTTTATCATGTTTATATACCGGTACAATCTTTAGTTCTTCACCATGTATAGTTTTTGGTACCTACACAAAAAAGTTGCCCTGTCTTCCAAAAAAGTTTTTCAGGAACCATCAAGCAATTTCTTACCACGCCTGATAGTTTAGGGGCTGAATATTAAAGGTTGGAAATATAAATTGACATAATCCAAAAAAAAGTTTAAGAGAGAGAAATACTTTAGCAATGCACTGCAAGTTATTTACTCTTATCTTGCCAGCCTTATATTTCACCTGGAGGTATTTCTTGGATGTACCATAGTTGCTTTGAGCAGTCAAACAATGCTGTATCTATTGCCAGGCCTGTGTTTGTGCACTGAAATAATCTGAGTGTGCATGTGAAGAAAACACCTTCAAGTGCTTGCTTGTGGCTTTCACACCTATGAATGAGTTTTGCATTCCCAAGAAGTAATGAGCAGAACTTCCCAGTTAGGCCCGACCAGCACCTCGTCAATAACCCAAAGCACAGATGGCTTTTCACATGCCGACATGCTCGCACGTACACAAATCATTCCTCCCTTCACATTTAAATAAAATGGGGAGAAAGGAAAAAATATGGTATGGCTTCCATGAAAACATGAGGCATGTTTTTCTTATTGTTCTTCGTTGTAACAGAAAAACTGTTGTAGCAAACTCACGAGCCGGCTGAAAGCACTTACGAGGATGATATTGTCAGATAGGGATTTCCTTTTGGAAAAGATCTGTCAGCTAATAGCTGCCGGAAACCTCAAGGCTCTACACATCCTACTTTATAGCTGCTGTTATATAAACCCATTCTTTCTTAAGTTTCAGTAGGATGCTGATGTAGAGTCCAAGCAACAGCCACCAGAGGTAGCTGTTTACATTACGTTCCCCTCCTGATGCCATCGCCGCTCTGTAGTGCAAGGTTGAAGCGATGTATAGCAGACTCTTTTTGGCCTAAGCAAGGTATCCTTGAAGAAACACATTCCATTATTTGTAAGGGGATAGGAGCTGCCAGAACACATAAATAAACAGGCCTTTTTTTAGATCAAGAATATGGAAAGACGATCCCGGTCATAGAGCAGCGTGGCCGATGCCAGTACAGACTCTTGCACTGATTTGGCTCTAGATCAGAGAGGGAATGACATCACGCCACCTTTGTTCTTCGTAAGATGTATTAGGTGTAAGAGCTCTGATTATTGCCTCTGCCTGCCTCTTTCAGCTCTGGTGATTATTTCAAGGGCTCACTGTTGAAAAGTGGGAGCACTAAGAGGGCCGGCGGTGAGCAATGAACCCTTTTTTTGGCATTAGGCAAGAGCTCAAAAGATTACAAGTACGTATCAATGCACCCTGAATGCCTGGAATGTATATGTTGGATCTAAACTGAGGCAGGAATCTCCTTTTTTTTTCTCATTATGTAGATTTCTTAGCTGTCTACCTGGAAATGGATGGAAATGAGTTTGTATACTTGAGAAAAAGCTGAATCCCTTCACCATATGCTCGCAAGAGCTTGACAAATGCCCAGACAAATACACATGCTGTGCATTGAGGCCAAAGTGAGGATGAATTTATTACCATTCCTGTACTCGCTCTCAGCTGATAATACACACTGGAAGGACCTTTTCCAAACACGCAATCTTGCTTTGCAGCCCTCAAAGCTGTAGCAGAGATTCTTTAATATTTCATAACAACTACCAGCTAAGTAAATATTTTCCAGGGACATCCGCATTTTTACAGTCTTCATCAAACAGTAGCAAAACTGTTTTTTTTTTTTTTTATGTTTGCAATTGTTAGTTTTCTTTTAATCAGCAAAGATAAATGTATGAGACATTATGTATGTTTTTACCAAACAATTTTTTATAATAAACTTTTTATTTGACTCTTAATGACTAAAACATCGTTTGATGAGCAGAATGACCCTTCAATAGTATCTATAAACCTGTAGCCTACTTTACTCTGATTGTATTTCGTGTCAGAAATGGATGTGACATCCAGTGCGTCCATGTTGAATAGGTTCCACCTAGCAGACACTCGAAACATTATGTTCAAGAGGGATTTTGTGGATACTCAGAAGTGACTGCCATCCAGCGCAACTCTGACACCAATGGCTACCCCATGTAAGGCGAATAAAACCATTAAAAAACTCCTTAAAGCTACAGTGTGTAATAATTACAGGGATATACAGTCAGAAATGTAATATATTATACATAACTATGTTATTTATCATCATCTACGAGCTCAGCCTCTTAACCTTAATATTTGCGTTGCCTTAGAATTCGTTATTTATAATTACATAGGAGCGGGTCTCGCAGCCATGGAGGCAGACATCTTTGCGCTACGGCAGCGCAGAGCCAACAAACTAACGTTAGATGTCGCTAAAAATTACACACTGTAGCTTTAAAGGTGTTTTGGAGGATTTTCATGAATTTTTTTAAGAGACCTGCCCTCTCCGCTTTAAAAAAAAAATGCACGTGCACAACCCTGTACCCGCTCCCATACTTAAAGGCATACTATGCAACATTTTTCAGTTAATTAATGTGTTCCATAACGTTTTGGATGATTAAATGAGTCATTTCAGGTTGAACAAAGGTTTTCTCGGCCGCCCTGGTGGTCTGTAGGGGAAATACCACACTTGCAATTGCAGGAGCCCTCGGCCCGCACCCACAGGCTCAGATGTCTTGTGCATCGCGAGAGTCAGTCTTGCTTTACGGCGAGAATTTGGCTAACTACAATCTTTGTTATTTAGACACATGCACAACAAATAATGTATGAAAACAAAACAACAAAATAGTCACTTACCGCAGTAGACATGGTGATTCGTTGCGTTCGCCTCTCTGCTACTGTAAGCTCAAAACAACCGCGCCTGGCTTGACGGACAAACCAGGAGAACAGCTGAGCATATTTACGACAGTGCACTTTTACTTTCGCCTTCTGGGGGGAGCTTCGCTGGAAAATCAACACCGGTTACATAGTATACCTTTAAAAGTAAGCTTGTCCTCCTTACTTTTAAGTACTGTATGAGCGTGAGCTACGAGAATGAACTGAAGTGTGCTGCAGTTCTGTTTTTTGGCCACAGGTGGCAGCATCAATAGGAAGCTCTGTCATGGCTCTTTAAAACTGTGACTGAATGCAGTTACTGTGGTGTTAAGTGTTAAAATCTCCCTTTAATAAATCCTAATCCCCATCCCAAGTTGTTTTAGTAAGGCTTAAAAAAAAACGTCTTATTTCCTGGGACCACATGATTTGCCAAACAATGCATTCTTAATCCCTGCTCCATCCGTATCAAAAATTTTATATTGCTGAGTATTAATTTGAAGAAATTGGCAGACAGGTTTCTGAAAGTGAAATTTACATAAGAAAATAATTTTGGTGGTTTCACATAACCAACGTTAAAATCAAATGTGGCCATCTTGATTCTAAAGCCTAATGTCAGTGCAATTAAAAATAAAAGAAGGAATTTAAACGATGGTATTTCTTCGTATGCATAATTTTCATGATAACAAGACAGTTTGCCAATTCATTAAATGTTAATGTCATTAAATGTTAAACAGACTTCTGAACACGTGCCATTTATATTCCCTAAAATCATCTAACTCTGCTTTAACCGAGGGAAGTTTTGAGATCTATATGTTCTGAAGGAGGTAGGTGTCGTGAAAGTTTGTGTTGATGGTTTTAACAGTTTTTACCCATTAAACAAGAGGTATGAGGACTCCAAGCAAACTAATGCACTATTATGACTTCACTCCTCATAAGCTAGCAGATGGGATTTCTATTTCCCTTTGCAAGACTGCAGATGTTTTCACAGAATGAAAACACTGAAAGGAAGAAAAAGGGATTTGAGAGACACCTAAGTCTTTTTGAGCCACAGGGATCTACTTGAAGATGTTATCATATGCAACACACACACACACTCACACACACCCCCACACACACATTTGTTTAAATCAATCTAAGACAGCCTGCTCAATTCTTGCCCTCAGCAGGCATGCAGCTCCCTATTAAAGTATCTCATTTTATTCATATTTTTTATTAATGCTGCCTGTATTTTTCAGAAAACTTTATTAGGACAGATCTGGAAAACAAGTAGCAAATGTTAAGGGCCTGAGACAGCGTATGCTGATCTGCTTTAAGCCAGATAAATGTTTCCATGTGCTGTTTATGGGAAACAAATGGGGAAAGGCACGCTGTGACAGCGAAAGCCCAGCACGCAGCGCTGGTACTGACCTGCACTTTTATTAAATATCATATACTTTTCTTCTACCTCCACCTCATTCATTTTCACATTTTTCTTTTTCAGTTCTTAACATTCTATAAATCTTTTTGTCAATAATTATTTTACCTTTTGATATTTTTCTGGAATGCAAAAGGTCTAAGAATGTCCTGCATCGGATGGAAAATTTGCTCTCGCGTTTAAGTGGATGACTGGAAATTCAGTCATCCAGGACTTCCTCAGGTACCCTACATGGCAGTGAGGTACTCAGCCTCAATGTGTTAAAGCCAGAGATTTGCCAATAACCAAGTGTATGTATGTGTTAGACATCCTGCGTTGCGAAGCAACATGGACAAGTGTCAAATGGGCCAACAGTGCACACTTAAAATATGCAAACACAAGCACCAGAGTTGTCCACTTAAACACACACTGTTTGATTTCCGTGGTTTGATGAGATGTACTTCCCAGATTTATGTTCATGAACACCTCAGTAAACAAATGTGGATGTGGTTTTCAGAGATAATTATGAGTTTATTTGGTATTCAGTCACCGCGTCTGCAAGCCATTTGGATCCTGAAGTCATTATTCACTGCAAACAGTCGAGCACTTTCATAAATCTAACACGTCCTGTTTTGCTCTGCTGTGTACGATGGCTTCTATGTCTACTGCTTCATGCAAACGGGAGATATAGTGTTACAAAAGGCTCATCTTA